CTTTCTGACGATGAATATGAAAGTGATAATTTGCAGTGTGAAAACTGCATAGATATGGTGAATTCAAAGCACGAAAAATTATTCAAAATAAATTATCGCCAACTGCAAATAATGTTACTGCTTCGAATATGGATATCAATGATTTAGCGATGACATTTGGCGACCCTCCTATTACAGTGCCTATGACTCAACCATATACAGTTAAATTGCCAACAGTTAAACTACAGTCATTTACAGGAGAAATTGAACAGTGGCAATGTTTTTGGGAACAGTTTAAATCTTCTATAGATGCCAATCCACATCTTTCTGTTATTGATAAACATGTTTCCCTCAGAGATTATTTAGATGGTGAAGCTAAACGCCTTGTTGATGGAATTAGTGTAATAGGAGACACCTATGAAACAACAAAAAAATTGTTGGAGGAAACATATGGAAATAAAGATCGATTATCCAATCACACTTAGATTACTTAGAACATTTTAAATGTTATTCAAGACCCATCTCCTTCGCATCTAAATGAATCTTTACATAGAATGTAACAGAAGAAATTCAAGCTTTTTAACTGCTCTGGGTGAAAATATTGAAGCATACGGTAGAATCCTAGTGCCAAAAATTATTCGTGCATTCCCCAATGATATTTATTTGCCGCTGGATTATCTATGCCAAACGTGAAAAAACTAAACGAAGGTAATTTATTTTACTAGATTGATGCAGTTCTTGACAGAAGAAGTGAAAGCTGTAGTTTCAGCACAAAGAGTTAATGGTACGTCTTTTTCTGATCACACCGTTAAGTGCAATGTAGAAAATTATGATATCAATTTTAAAACAGTAAACAAATGTAAGAAAATTTCGCCATTTTGTTCATTTTGTGCTACACAGGACATTGGCCTCAATATTGTGAAACTCTTACAACCTATGATACTCGTGTTCAGAAACTTAAAACTTCAAATCGCTGTTTTCTGATTACTAACCGTGGTCATAGAGTTTCAAACTGCGCAAGAAAAAATACTGCACTAAGCACTAAATGCAAGAAAAGGCATCATGTTTCTATTTGTCCTCCTGTTGAAAACAATCAAACTGCGGATAACTAACAGTGCTGTAAATCACATAACCTTTCCTAAAACAATTTTCACACATTTGCAAACTGCACGTGTGTATGTTACTGGCCCCACAGGCATTACTAAATTAACACGCTGCATTTTAGATGGTGGTAGCCAAGCAAGTTTTGTTCACACAAACCTCATTGAAAAACTTTAAGCTTAAAGTTGTCAGTTTCTGCCTCACTTTCAGTTCACGCAGCATTTGAATCTTTTACTTCACAAGAACAACGTAGATGTGTTCAACTGTCACTTTCAAGTTTGTGGAGCAACCAAGCATTTTTGATATCTCCGCATTTGAAAGCTCCAATTCCTATACTACACATCCTACTGCTCCACTATAAATAGTTTGCTCAGAAGAAAAGATTGAGAATTGCTGATCCTCCGGATGATGCTTCACTGCCCATAGAAATACTTATTGGTGGTGATCATTATTGGCAAATTGTTTCCGCAGAAGCTCCAATCAAGCTTTCAGAATCTTTTGTTATGGTACCGTCAGTGTTTGGATGGGTTCTTAGTGGAACAAGAACACATACTACAATCGCTGAGAAGATTTCTGTCCATCAAGTTTGTGTGCAAGTTAAAACTGATTGTTTAAATGATAGGGTACGTCGCTTCTGGGAATTAGACTCCATAGGGATACAAGATGCGCAGAAACGAAGAATGACTACTCGCAGATGAAAGAAATTTTATCAGAATTTCAGAAAAACTTACAACACTGCAAGGCAATCGAAGAATTGTGTCTCTGCCTTAGAAAACCATTGGTCACACCTTTGCCTACAAATAAAATTATAGCGGAAAACAGAATTTCATTCTCTTCAAAAAAGACTTGACTCTAGTGATGTGTTAAAGACACAATATGACAAATGCATGCTGAATTACATTGAACAAAAGCATGTTGAAGTTTGTTCCATAGATGAATCCAATGAAGAAGCCAGTATATTTATTACCTTCCTCATCATGCTGTACGGAAAAAAAACGCAAATCTGAAACCAAGTGGAGAATTGTGTTTGATGCTCTTCCTCACATGCTCCAGGAATGATTCCACTGAACGATACCTTGGAAGCTGGCCCGAATCTTCTTCCTGAATCTATTGGTTGTCTACTAAGATTTCGATTGCATGAATTCGCTGTTACATGTGATGGTAGCAAGCTTTTTTACAGTTGTCACTACATAAAGAAGATACGGACGTCACAAAATTTTTCTGGTACAAATTAAAATCTGATTCATCTCAACCTACTACTTTTACAGATAAAATAACTGTTTACAGATTTACTCGTGTACCATTTGACCTTACTTGCAGTCCGTTTTTACTCTGTGTTGCGACACGAGAATTGGCTGCAAAACATATCGCAGAATTTCCAATTGCTGCACCAATGATAGATAAACATCTCTATATGGATGACTTTCTTGCTAGTATGGAAACTGAATCACGCATTATAATGCTATATCACGAGATAAAGAATTTAATGGCTCTATTGAAATTGCCTATGGAAAAATGGGCTACAAACTCCTTGAAACTCAACGATGTACTACAAACACATAAAGAATCTCACAAAATGGAAACAACTGTCTTAGGTATTGGCTGGAATACAACTTCGGATACTTTGAAGTATGCATTCAAAACTTCCCTCTGTGTTTCTACAGACAAACCACTTACAAAGAGATGGTTATTCCGCTGCATTGCTAGTTTTTATGATCCCTTAGGCCTTTTTTCACCGTTTACTATTCTTGGGAAAATCTTATTCCAAGATACATGGATACTTGGAATCAAGTGGAATGAATTACTACCTGCTAATTTATCAACTTTATGGTATGCAGCTGTGAAAAACTTGATGACATTTGCTCCCTTCAAATTCCTCGATGCATAGGCATTTCATCACATGTTCCTTTTGCTATTCATGTGTTTTGTGACGCAGCTGAACGTGGCTATGGTTCAGTTCTGTACATTGTTACCTTTAAAGGTGACCAATCGAATGTGAATTTAGTGTGTAGTCGCAACAAACTAGCTCCTATAAAGACAGTTACCTTACCTCATTTGGAGCTCTTGGCGGCCCTGATGGGAGCACGATTGTTGCAATATTTCTGCGCTGCGGACAAAGAGCTGAAGTTATTGTGGGATACTATATCCTCTGCCAAGGCACAGCAGTTTTATGCCCACCACAACATCAAATGAAAATTCATCGCCCCCCCGATCGGCTAGGTGGGGAGGATGGTGGGAAAGAATGATAGGCTCAATTAAGCGATGACTTCGGAAAACATGAGGTAAGGCTCTTTTGGATGACGCTGGTTTGATCACTGTATTATGTGATATTGAAGCCGCTCTTAACAGTAGACCGATTGTCCACGAATATGGAATAAAAAGATGACCCTGAGGAAGCTTTAACACCCTCGCACTTCCTCATAGGAAAGAAATTAACCACTATTCCTTCCAGCCCCACAAATCCTGAAACAAATTTAAATCATATGTGGAAAAATCGTCAACATTTGATGGACTCCTTTTGGAAAAGATGGCAAAAGGAATATTTGATGGACTTGCGTACATTTCATAAAGTGCGGAATCCATCTGAAACAAATAAAATACGGAAAAGGGACATTGTCCTACTACAAGAAGATGTTAGACCTCGCCATACCTGGAAAAAGGCCCGTGTTGAGGAGCTAATCCTTGGCCGCGACAAGAAAGTCCGTACTTGTGTTCTGCGCACCAATGGACAGAAATCTATGGGCTGCACCATAAAATAGCGACTGGGAAGGTCTTCAAGCCATCTCAGCTACAAATTCTGCACTCACAATGCAGCAATGAAGACTACACGGCCGATACCTTAAATGCAGTTTTAAACACCGTATTCAGTCAAGATGATGCAGCTCAGGATACTGTACAATAAGCCATTCTCCGTGCAGAGATAAATACCTTGGACACAGAAGCAGACCCAGACTTTACGCTCCAAGAACTTCAAAGAGTTCTGGCAAGTCTGCCACGCAAGAAGGCTCCCGGCCCAGACGGGATGGACTATGCCATAGTAAAAGCCACGATAAAGGCCCACCCAACTTTCTTTGTCAGTTACTTCAATAAACTACTGTCACAGGGACTATTTCCCACGCCCTACAAAATAGGGCAGGTGATTCTCTTTCTGAAGAAAAAAATAGAAAACCCGGCAGAAGCCTCCTCCTTCAGACCTATCTGCCTACTATCGGCAATGGGGAAAGTTCTAGAGAAACTAGTCATGAACAGACTACGCCATCATTTGCACATCCACAAATACCTAAGCCCCAGCCAATACGGTTTTAGAACGGGCTTCTCCACAGTGCATGCCCTATATGACATCAAGGAGGCGATACTGGCAAGTCGATATAACGGCTACCACACAGCAATGGTCAGCATAGACCTCAAGAATGCACTTGATACGCTGTGGTGGCCAGCCATCAGGCAGGCTCTACGTAAAACAAAACGCCCAAGCAATATATATAACATCATCTGCAACTATCTGCAGGACAGGAAGCTCTTGGCTGTGCACAATGCAGATATCATAGAGAAAGTGCAAACCAGAGGATGCTCACAAGGATCGTGCGCCGGGCCACACCTATGGAACTTGACGTTCAATGAAGTTCTGAAAGCGACGTGGCCGACGCACACTAAGATCTTTGCATATGCAGACGACGCGGCACTGATTGTAAGGGGAAACACACGGGACGAATTACAGCGTAACTGCAACGGAGTGTGTGAAATATTCCAGGAACACTGTCAAAAACTGAAACTAACAATAGCTGAGCATAAGTCCAAAGTCTTACTAATTCCGAAAAAGGGAGGCTCACTAGTAAGACGCCGCACCATCAAAATTAATAACCAACGTCTGAAGATAGTAAATCAGCTAAAGTACCTAGGAGTTACGTTCGATCATAAAAATGACATGGATCCCCCACATTCAGGATGTAAAAATACGGACAACAGCAATTGCTAAGCAGATGAGACTCTTCTACGGATATAAATGGGGCCTTAACCCGCATATCCAAAAAGTACTCTATACAACCGTAGTTGAGAAAATAGTAACATATGCCGCCGCAGTATGGGCACACCCAATGCAAGGCAGGAAAGTCAGGCATCTCAACACTATCCAAAGACCCTTTGCATTGGGAATCACCAGAGCATATCGCACCACTTCAACTGATGCCATTAACGTGCTCGCCGGCCTCCTTCCTCTGCACATTCGTGTCGAAGAAGAGGCAGCACGTCAACACGTCCTACAGCTCAAAAGAGCAGTCACTTTCGATGAAGAGACTTACTACCCTGAAGACTATGAAACGAATGTCTGCCCACTCAACATCCACCCAGCAGTGAAGGGCAAGGGAGTTTTTGTCACTATTAATCCTACTACAACCCATCGTCCCGGAGAATTTATCATGTACACAGACGGGTCAAGAATAGATGAAAAGGTAGGATGCGCATATGTAGCCATGACGCACGACACAGTAAACGAGCAATGGAAAGGTCAACTCAGACAGAATAACAGAGTCTTCCAGAGCGAAGCGGTAGCAATCGCTAAAGCAATTCGCTACCTGCACACACATCAGCACAACCATGCTACCATCAAAACTGATAGTCTATCATCGCTGTATGCCATATGGAACCCGGACCACCCATCAGACATTATACAGGGCATACAAAAGAACCTCAGGGAAAACTTTCCTTATCGCACGAAACTGGAATGGATCATGCCGCCCACCAAGGCAATGAGCTAGCTGATCAACTCGCCAAGGAGGCAACGACAGATCCATCCAGTACGCAAATAACCATTCCATGGCCCCACTCGTTTCTCAAAAAGACACTTCGCTTAAAGGCCACCGGTTTATGGCAAAGTGAATGGGACACCAGCGCCACCGGGAGGCGCACGCACTACTTTATCAGCTACGTGGATCCCAGCAGAAACACTGCCAACACACAGCTGGTAAGATTTATATCCGGACACGGACCTTTCCCGGAATACTTCCACAAACGCGGCATCAGCCACACAAGCCAATGTGCGTGCGGAGAAAATGGCTCACCAGAGCACTATCTTACATCTTGCCCACTTACAGAAGGGCTGCACATCAATCTACCACAGACGAACCGTCAAACCTTTTGTAAGTACATGATAAAACAGCGGCACCTAATTAAAAAGATAGTGCAACTGATGGACAAACTGTCTGACTTAAACACAGACCTGTGCCATCCTTAGATTTTTCACTCTACCTGTAATATAACTGCACGTAATATCTACACGAAGTGTATCAGCATTTACCATGAGTACGATGGTAATATAAAGTAAATATAATAAAATGCAAGCTGCGCCATGCAATGTACTGTAATACGTAAAATAGGATAATGACCTTAATAAGTAATGAACATAATAAGCATTATGAACTTAATAAGTAAATGCATACGAAAGCAGTGTATATCTTATAAGTGTCTTAATTATGAAAGTAACATAAATTCAGTGTAACGCAAAAGTAATAATAATGTGCACAATATGTATTATAATATTAATGCACATAGAGAATTAGTAAAAAATGTGAATAGCATGTGCACTCCTTAAGCGTTTATGTTTTAGACGTGAAGATAATGCACTGTAAATGTATAATAAGGTAAATGCAATATAAATGTAAATAGCACCATTTAATGAACATAATAAGTAAATGCATACCAAAGCTGTGTATATGTTACAAAAGTCTTAATTATGAAAGCAACATAATTTCAATGTAACACAAATGTAATATAAATGCAAACAACACCAAGTAATGAAATTGTGAAGGTGGTGCACATAGAGCACCAGTAAACAATGTGCATAGCATGTACCCTCTTTAAGTTTTTATGTTCTAGATGTGGAGATAATGCAAAGTAAATGTATCATAAGATAAATGCAATATAAATGTAAATAACACCACTTAGTGAGCTGAATAAGTAAATGCCTATGAAAGCTGTGTATGTGTAATAAATGTCTTAATTATGAAAGTAACATAATTTCAATGTAATGCAAATGTAATATTAATGTAAACAACACCATGTAATGATTCTGTAAAGGTGGTGCACATGTGCACATTAACAATCAGTAAACAATGTGAATGTGCATAGCATGTGCCCTCTATAAGTGTTTTTTTTTTTTTTTTTTTTTTTTTTTTTTGGTAAGACGTGAAGGTAATGCAATGTAAATGTATCATAAGGCAAATGCAATATAAATGTAAATAGCACCATTTAATGAACTTAATAAGTAAAAGCATACGTAAGCAGTGTATATGTTTTGTAAATGTCTGTTAAATGTCTTAATTATGAAAGCAACATAATTTCAATGTAATGCAAATGTAATATTAATGTAAACAACACAAGTAATGAATCTGTAAAGGTGGTGCACATAGGCTATAAGTAAACAATGTGCATAGCATGTACCCTCTATAAGTGTTTATTTTTAGACGTGAATGTAATGTAATGTAAATGTATCAAAAGGTAAATGCAGTATAAATGTAAATAGCACCATTTAATGAACCTAATAAGTAAATGCATACGAAAGCAATGTATATGATGTAAATATCTTAAATTTGTATATAATGTATGTAAAATGTAACCAAATGTACTTAAAGTTTCAATGTAATCTGTGTTCACAAACTCTGTAAAATGTGCATCCAAATGTATAATTATGCCCTTGTTTGGCCCTGTATTGCAACTAATTATTCTGCCCAAACTCTAGATAAAGGTGGACGTGGCGCTATACCAATTAACCAATTGGCAGAGGGATGGTGCCCACGTCCTCCGTCGCATACCATTACACGACCTGTGCAGCTGGCCATTTCCCTGGAGGTTGACCAGGGTGGGGAGGATGTTGCGGCAAAGCCAGCGAACTATTAAAAATAACATTACCCTTTTTGTGAATGGCATCACTTACGTTTTTGTATTTATGTCTTTTTGCTTGTTCTATACTTCATGTTTATGTTAGGAAATAAATAAGTATAAAATACTATCTCCTAATACATGTGATTTGAGCATTGATCTATAAATTTAGAAGCTGACCTTTCAAACCACCGTTCCGATCAAGCGGTAAAGACTATTGATTTACGATTATTAATTTCATTTATAATTTGTGGTGATTTAAGACTACGAGACATGTATTGATTTACGACTATTAAAAAGCTAATCAGCATAGATTTCTCGAATTAATTAAGAAGTGCAATATAGGAATCAAACCAGAAAAAAATAATTATTTAATATTAGTAGTAAATTATGTTTTCGCTAGGAAGGAATATACTAAGTTACTGTCACAATGAAATTTCCATGCCAGTGCTTCAGTCAATTACTTAGTCGACGTCATTTATTTCCTAAGACATGGCTGTCATGCTTCGAAGGATTCATTATATATGATATTCATCATCGCCGCTATATCCACGCAAAAACTAGTGTTCAAAATCGTGTCTTTATAGCTCATTAGATGCCTTTGAAAAGCGATTCTTCAAGCAGAGTCAGGCTTGTATTTTTTTCTTCTCTCGCCGCAAAAATAAAATACTTTCAAAAACTTACGTTTTTAACCTAAATTATTCATTAACGAAGCAGCAGTGTAATTTTAAGTGCGTTTGCAGCACGCAGTTTGTGTCAGGTTCGCTGGGGAAAAAACATTTTTGGTTAATGTGTCGTTCTTATGGTTGCTAGAGTGGCTTCATTTTTCATTAAATTCATTAAGTAAACACGGTAATTACTCAAAGTTACTCTTCCAAAGGAAAACTGAGTTATTTTTTAAACCGAGATTAATTAAACGTTTAAATTAAAAATGCTTCAATTAATATCATTCGTATGGATTACCCCGATAATGGGAAATATTATAGCTTGCAGTAACATGAAAATTATGCCAAGAAATACATAGTAGAATCATGTTTTTTTCCCTTGGTCTGGAAAGAAAAGGATCTTCAGCTGACTAGAAGAAATTCACTAAAGATTTTTAACTTTCTTTATTTATTGGCCAGCTATTTTTAATAGTTTCTTGATTAAAAAAGTCTCATTTTTGATGTTTTGACATAAGTTTAATCATCCAGCTGCTAATAGAATGTAAACTTCTTTAATGACCTTTTTTAACGTGTCCATGTTATTTTTTGAATGCCATCAAAAGTACCATTTTTTGATATTTAAAATACTTTAATAGTTTGCATAATTAATCATTTATGGTTTCTTGAGAAAAGAAATTATTATATCATAAAAAAAAAATCTGAAAGGTTTCAGATTTTAAATCATGTCCACAGAGGCGTTTTTTTAACGTTTTGTGTGTTACTTTTATTTATTAAATATCATGTTCTTTACACTTAAACCATAAAATTTAGTTCAATAGAAATGTCGCAAAATAGTTTTAAAATGAGCATATCTTTAGAATTTTCGATACACAGTTCCGCACACTGGAGATAATAAAGGTTTCCCCCCCCCCGGTAGAGTGCTGCCATTGCTCGCTTTGAAATCCTTGAGTTCGTTAATCAAAAATTCGTTAAAGTTTTACAAAATATGAAATCGTTAATAATAAAAAAAATTCCAAATTTCAAATTTGGTCTTACACATGCTCATATTCGTAGGAGGATTACGTCATTCTATGTACCGTTGTTTTAACAAAATGTGAAAATTATACATACATTTATTCAGATTTTTCATTATTTAATTTATTCAAATATAATGCAGGACTCTTAACATTTGGTGGGAATAGTTTGAAAAATGAAACGGACATTTATAGTGATTCAACTCAAAATCGCAAAACGAAAACAATAGTCCTTCAGGAACAAAGCCTCTTTGGACTCAAAATTCTTGTAAGAGAGTTAAAAAAGGATATTTTAAGAAAGAAAACTGAAAGTTTAAGACTTAAATAATATGAAAATTTGTTAATCACAAGCAATCTCTACGAGCAGTATTGTCACCCGTATTACATAGCAAACCATTCGAAGTGGACTGGCTGCTTAGCGTTGTCATGGTTTTTCCATGGGTAATGTGTATTTAATTTATTCAAATATAATGCAGGACTCTAACATTTGGTGACAATAGTTTGAAAAGTGAAACGGACATTCATAGTGATTCAACTCAAAATCGCCATTCCGTCAACCATTCTCCCTTAGAAAGTCCTTCCACGAAAGCATCCCTCCTCTTAGGTAGATAACCCTCGACTGCTTTGCCATAACCAAAAAAAAAAAAAAAACTTGCGCTTTTCTTTTCTCAAAAAGGTGACTTAGGCTATGCAGCAGATTTACATAAAGCTATGGGCATACATGTATTCTGTCACAAAATTAGACTTTTTCTGAAAAGACAATACGATTTTTTTGTGCATTTTGATTCGACGCCTCAAAAATGATAGAGTTTAAGACCTCGAACTATGTTAAAATTTTCTAAAAAACGTATGAGGTTCAAAATTTTAGTTTGAATTTTTAACTCAATTTTGCTACATATTTGGAAAGATTGCATTTTAATTAAAGGTTCTCGACATCCTCCTTTATAATTTCAAATTTAGGTTTATCTAAATAAAATTCAAATGTTTTCCCTGATTTATTTAAAAAAAAACTTATTTTAAAATAATTTTTAGTCTAAAAGGGCTTTCTTCCTGAAAGACTATTGTTTTCGTTTCGTGATTTTGCGTTCGTTCACTATAAATGTTCGTTTCACTTTTCAACCTGTTGCCATAAAATGTTAGAGTCTTGCATTACATTTCAAGAAATTAAATAATGAGAAATCTGTATAAATGTATGTATATTTA